GTGAGAGCGTGAGTGAGTGTGAGAGTGAGTGAGTGAATGAATGAGAATGAGTGAGTGTGAGTGAGTGAGAGTATGAGTGAGTCAGTGAGTGAGTGAGTGCGAGAGTATGAGAGAGATTGAGTGAGAGAGTGAGTGAGTTAGAGAGTGAGTGAATTAGAGAGAGATTGAGTGAGAGAGTGAGTGAGTTAGAGAGTGAGTGAATTAGAGAGAGAGTGAGTCAGTGAGTGAGAGAGTGAGAATTAGAGAGTGAATCAGTGAATGAGAGTGAGTGAGTGAATGAGAGAGTGTGAGAGAGTGAGTGAGTGAGAGTGGGTCATAAGTGAATGAGAGTGAATGAGTGAGTGAGTGAGTGAATGAGAGTGAGTGAATTAGAGAGAGAGTGAGTGAGTGAGTGAGTGAATTAGAGAGTGAGTGAGTGAGTGAGTGTGAATTCTAAAAAGTGTTTTTGTGGAGAAGGAATATGTAGAAAATCTTGCACTACTTGTTTTTGTTAGGTGTTCGGGTCCTGGTCCGTTCAGATCCACAATTAGCCCAGGTGTGGTAGAGTGACACACTGCCTGATCCAACCTCAGCTTCCCCACTCTCAAGCTTGAGCCCATTGTTGTAGCCATTGTTTCAGTCATTCTGGTGGGGAGCTTCCGCTTTCCTCTGGCCTTCTACTTTATCAAGTATAATGTCCTTTCTGGGGACCGGTCTCTCCTGATAGTATGTCCAAATTAAGTGCTTCGAAGGCGCATTTTGGATACATCTCTTCTGAGACAGATTTGTTTGTTCATTTGGAAGTCCATGGTACTGTGACGGTTCCTGAGCAGCACCGTTATTCAAATGCATCCATTCTTCCAAGGTCTTCATTGGCCATTGTACAACTTTCAGATGCATATGAGATGATGAAAAATATTGTGGTTTGGGTCAGGTATACTTAGTTCTCAACTAAGTTCCTCTTCAACACTTTCAAGAAAGATTTCTTGACTGTCTTAAAACCTGACAGACACTGCTTTTTCTGTTTCCTTTCCAGACATCGTCATCAAACTAGAGTTCCTGCTATCATTTCATTCGATTTTTTTCAAATGTATAAAAGTCATTTATTATTTTTCTCACCTTTGATTTTTCATTCTCAATCTTTTGCGTGCACATTACATATTATGCCTTTAAAATGCCTATTCCAGTCAAGCAAAAACCAAAATTATTGTAATTTTCTTTTGAAATTAAGTTGTGCTTCAAAGGGCACTAGCAAGTAAGTGATAAGACAACCCACATACTGAGAAAATAATTGCAAATTGTTTTTCTGGGATTTTTATATAAAAAAACTATTCTAATGCAAAAACGAAAGAGAAATAATCCAAATAAAAATGGCAAAGGATCGGAGTAGACATTTCTACAAAGAAGATATACAAGTGAATAATAAATTCATCAAAAGATGCTCAACATTTTGTACGCCATTGCACTGGTTCTAATTTATTAGGACCTTCTAGGGAAGAGGAGAGCTGTGACTTATGATTTTTTCCCCGTAGGTTGTAATCTTTGTGAGAACAGATTGCCAGATCTATTTTCCCGTGGAGCAGCTGGTAGGTTCGAACCACTGACCTTTCGGTCAGCAGGCGAGTGCTTATCCAGTGTGCCACCAGGGCTCTTTTCATTAGTCATGATGGGGATGCAAATGAACACCACAATAAGACACCACTTCACACGCACTGGGATTGCTATGACAATAACAAGTGTTGGTGAGGATGAACAGAAACTGGGATTTCTGTCCACTGCTGATGGGAATGTAACCCAGGTCATCCACTTTGGAAAACAAGTTAGTGGTCCCTCAAACAGTTAAAAAATTAGTGTATGACTCAAACATTACATATATACCTGTGTGCACGTGTGTATACAAATCGATAAATAGTCAAGGAAAGTTAAAACATATGGCCTTACCCCACCCCCACTCCCAGAAAACCTATATCTATTGGATAATGAATGGGCAAATAAAATGTGTTTTATCCATACAATGAAATATTATTCAACTCTAAAAAGCGCAGGACTAATTCACAACACAGCATAGACAGAACTTGAAAGCATTAAGCTAGGAAAAAGAAGTCAGACACAGAAGACCAGATAGTGTATGCTCCCATTTGTATGCAATATCCAGATGAGCAAATTCATAGAGCCCGACAGACAGTGAGTGGTTGGCAGTAGCTTGTGGGAAGGAGGAAAGACGCTTGCCTGCTAATATTTATTTTGAGGGTGAGGAAGATTCTCTGGAATTTGATGGTAGTGATGGTTGCACATCTTTGTGAATCTCCCAGAAACCATTGGCTTGTATGCTATAAAAAAGGTGAATTTTCTAGATGCAAATGATGTCTTATGTTCTAAAACCAGCAATGACTGTTTTGAGGTAAATAGATTTGAAGTAGATATGTAATATAAACCCAAACCCACTGCTATTGACTCAATTCTGACTCACAGAGATCCTATACAGGGTTTCCAAGTCCAGATCTTTGTGGGAGGAGAGAACCTCATCTTTTGCCTTAGGAACAGCTGGTGGGTTTAAACCATTGACCTGCTGTTAGCAGCCCAGTGCCTAACCCCCAGTGCCATTAAGGCCCATTTATGCAGTATAAATACAATCCTTTTTAAACGACTTACATTAATAACAACTACTTACACTTAACTACTTACAATACAATGAAGACATTTTCCTAGCACCAGGAAATGTGAGAGGGTGGTAGAGGACGTGTTGTCAGCACAAAGCACAAGGGAGCCGACTAAGAAACATCCTTTATTTTGACCCTGGTGGTAGCTTCATGAGTGTAGACGTGTGTAAAATTCATTCTGTTGTATATGTAAGGCTTGCATAGCTCCTATACAGACCAATCTGAAAGGACAAATGGATATTCCCCACAGATGGTGAGTCTGCTGGTCCTGAGTGGGGCCCTGGGATCTGCATTTTAACCAGTACCTCAGTGGTTCAAATGCAGGTTTTATTAACTGACTTTGAGAAGCGCTCCTGTGGATTCTTGATAACTTGTCTATGAGATCGTATTAAACTTTGATTCATGCCTATTAGACACCGCTGACTGATGTGTTAGGTTGGCTAACGGCAGCGCTTTCCTGCTATGGGCATGTTGTCTGAGTTTAAAGTGGCTCATTCCAAAGAAGCTACTGTAGGCATGGGTTGTGAAACTAGGCTGTGCCATAGAGAGATGGCTGTGGGACTGGTTAGAGTATGGAGGTGGCCTAATTCACACCATTTGTCTGTTAGCCACCATCTCTAGAAAAAGGGGTGATTTGATTTGTTATGTCATCAACTGGACAGTAGTGAAAACTTTAAAATCGTGATTCTCAAATACCAGGGAATCCAACACAGATTCAAAGGTAGTTTTGAATAATTATGTATCTCTGTTCTCAGGGTTTCCCCATAGATTATCTTAATTTTTTTGCTACAAATCTCTGAGGTGCTGGGGGGACTCTAGATGAGTGTCCTGCTTTGCAGGAGGCTATGGGTGACAGTGGAAGCCCAAAATCCATTTGCAGGGTCCCCACTGGGATTAAGCCTCCGGTGAATCCCCTCTGACCATAGACCAGGGATGTGAATACCTTTACTAGCTGACAGAGAAAGTAGATTAATGAAGACTCAATTAGGCTATTGGAAAGTAGACTAATGAAGACTCAATTAGGCTAAAATTTACACCTTAGCAATATGTAGATTAATTTAACCTAATTTAACACCTAGATTAGTTTTAATCTAATTATGAAATCTGAAAAATGTCCTTTTATTCCTTTAGTGTCATTTAAAAATTGTAGGTTTTAATCATTTTCTGTTATCTTTTCTATTGAGGGTTTATTTTGTTATTGATGTTAAGTTTTTGTTTAGTCTTTTGCTTTTTATTTTTGTATGTTTTTCTTTATATGAAATCCAGGATAGGTAAAGCTATAGAGACAATAACTGGATCAATAGTTTCTTAGCATTGTGGCAGGGGAAATTGGAGGAAAATTAGAAGTTAATAATGAGTACAAGAAGGAAGAAAGTGTTCTAAAATTAATTGCAGTAATGATTGCACAGATATTTATTTTTTTTTGCACAGATATTTTACATAAAATTAAACTGTTAAATTGCAGGATGTATGAATTATATGTGAATAAAACTGTTAAAAATCGTGTCTTGCTCAATTATCCACACCTAAGCCACCATCAAAGGCAGTCCATTTCAACCCCTCCCCCAAATGGTCATTTATTGGTGACTGAATGTAATTATTTTTCTTGACATAAAACTGAAAAACAACAATTCGCTGCCATCAGTCAATACTGACTCCTATCTACCCCATGTGAATTTCTGCGACTGTAATTGTTTACAGAGTAGAAAGCCCCATCTTTCTCCCACCGAGCTGCTGATGGTTTTGAACTTCGGTTCGTGAGAATCGCAGCCCGAAGCAACCACCATGCGGCCAGAGCTCTGGATAGTCTTTAAAAGAAATATCGTTATGAGTCAGTTCTCATGGTTTAGCTATGTTTTCCTGAGAGCATTTTAAAAAATATATATTACTTGAGATTAGCAGAGCAATGATAAAACTAAATTTTTTTTAATTACAAAGAAACAATGAGCCACTTGCTGATACTACCTGTTTATTACACAGGTCCTCCGAGTGTACTATGACCGCCTTCTGGACAATGCAGACAGAAGTTGGCTTGTCGACTACATTCAGGAAATGCTGAGGAAGCATATGAATGACGATTTTCACGAGCTTTTCCTGAGACTGGATTTCGACTACGACGGAGTGGTGGAAGAGGATGATTTACGCAGTTTAATGTTCTGTGACTTCCAGGATCCCAAGAAGGAGGACACCAACTACAAAGAAGTGGCCGACGTGGACAGCCTTCGCGTGATCATCGAAGCCCACCTAGAAGAATACAATAACATTAGCAAAAAGCCCATGAACCTCGTCTTGTTCCGATTTGCCATCGAACACATCTGCAGAATTTCCCGGATCCTGAAGCAGCCCCGGAGCCACGCGCTCCTGGTCGGCGTGGGCGGCAGCGGGAGGCAGTCGGTGACCCGACTGGCCGCGCACATGGCCGACTACTCCGTTTTCCAGGTGGAGATCTCCAAGGGCTACGGCAGCACCGAGTGGCACGAAGACTTAAAAGTGATCCTGCGGAAATGCGCCGAAGGCGAGATGCAGGGCGTCTTCCTGTTCACAGACACGCAGATCAAGAGAGAGTCCTTTCTGGAAGACGTCAACAATTTGCTGAATGCGGGCGAGGTGCCAAATCTCTTTGCCCTCGATGAGAAGCAGGAGATTTGTGAGAAGATGCGCCAGATCGATCGCCAGCGAGATAAAACCAAGCAAACCGATGGCAGCCCCATCGCCCTGTTCAACATGTTTATTGACCGGTGCCGCAATCAGCTGCACGTGGTCCTCGCCATGAGTCCCATCGGAGATGCGTTTAGGGTTCGTCTTAGGAAGTTCCCTGCTCTTGTTAACTGCTGTACGATCGACTGGTTTCAGGTACGCATTGCAGATGTACGTTTAAATAGCCTTCTTCTCTTAACTTTCTATTGAGAACTGCATGGAGGTTAGTAGAACACATCAGTTTGCCATTCAACAAGCCATACGCATTCCTTCCGTGTCAAGGACTGCCGTCCCACAATCTAACATCACTTGTTCTGGTCTCTGGCTCCTAGTGCCATCCCTCCTCCTCTCATTTACCTTTCTGAACTCCCTCAGACTTCCCGACATGTTCAATCCTCCTCACCACCATGAATTGTTTTATAGACTTCCCACCAAAACATCTGCTCAATAATGTACTTTCTGAAATTATAATGGGAGAAGTCATCATAATAGAACAATATGTGGAATGACATAATGAATAACAATCTGTTGCAATGGCCACACAGAACTCACAAATCATGTTCACGGTTATAGCAGTTATTAGGGAAGTTTAACTGGTTACTACAAGTCAGGATTAAAGAACAACAACATTAAGGAGATACTCTTGTGTCACAACAGTGTCTTTCTCTGGTCCTTAACCTCTCAGTCATATGGCCTCTTGGTCTCTGCTTTGTTGTGAGTCAGGTGGCTGGCCACTCTGCCTCACACTCTTAGTGTTTTCCTCTTCTGCAATGTGTGAGGCTGGTTTGACTAGAGAAACAACTCCACAGACACTCATATGTGTGCAAGAGATAACTTTATATCAAAGAACAATTGTATAATGAGAAAACAGCCCAGTTCAGATCAAGTCCATAAGTTCAGTATTAGCCCATATGTCCAATACTAGTCCATAGACTCACGCAGCACATGCAATGATGCAGAACGCAGGACGATCATAGGCTGGAGGGTAGAAAATCTTGTGGATCCAGTGGTAGTAAAAGCATCTCAATGCCGGCGTGGGTCTCCACGTGGCTCCTCTAGCTTTCTGAGTTTTTCAACAGGAGAAAAGGGAAGGCAGAGAGAGAGCATCCCACCTCCAGGGACGAAGTGAAGGAAGTTCCCAGATTCCTCATAAGAAGGCCTTGCCCACAAGGAGGGATCGTCAGGCTGTGACCTGATTGACAGGCATGACTCTACCCCTTTATTCTTTCATCAAGCTGACATGAAATTGTGTAACTACCATAAACCACCCCTTGTCAACTTGAACACCTTTACACAACTCTTTAACCATACATAATTTTAAAACAAAGCAAGAATAAAATTATATCTGTACCTAACAGGACAAAACTAAAATGTATAAAATTCAAAATGTGCTATCTTTATTTAAATATAATATCCTCTAAGTGAGCAAAACAAATATATTCTATAACTATTTCAGTTATGTTAACACCTACACCATAATCCTATAAGCATATTCCCCACCTATGAAAGTTTGTAAACCAGCTTCTTCATGCCTTTATCCTCCTCCTTTTGGGTATCCAATTTCTACACTGCCCACTTACATCAACCCAGTGTGTGAGGAGACAAGCATGTTCCTTGATATGGAGAATCTTCATTTCAGTTGGAACCTTGTGAGTCTACATCCATTAGCAAAATCAAATTAGGACAGGCTGTCCATAAAGTCAGTAGCAATATACACTCATTCACAGGCTCAGAAAAGCTCATCTTCATCTGGTTAGGTTCTACTCAACTCAATATGGGCCACCTCACTTAGCCTCGCCTTTGCACCATGGGCCCCATCACAAATTCTCAACAACCCTAGCCCTCTTGGGCTAGGGCATGAACTTCCGACCAGCCAACCCACTCTCATCTTCTCCTATAGACCCTGTAAACCACATCCCCATCTCTTTATTTCTGCATTTCTCTCCCTCCACTCAACAAGTGGGTTCAGTCACCTAGCAAGCATTCCAGGCTGCCCATAGGCTCCCTTTAACATTCAGGCCTAGAGAAGGCAGTTCCTTCATGGCTCCAAATTTTTCCAGCTTCAGGCACAAACCACTAGTTCAAAGTTCCAAAGGCAAAGCGTTCCTTTTTTCCCTTCAGTCTATCCACAGCCCCGTAGGCAAGTCTCTTCAAATTAGAATGTCCTGCGCACCCAAGACACTGGGTGGGGAATGTCTTTTCAGAGACATCTTTGCAGGCATGCCCTACACCCGTTTCAAGATCCCACCTAACGGCTAAAGGCAAGTAGGCTTACAAACTCTTTATTCTTAAATAAAGAGTTTATTTATTTAAATAAATAATGATTTCTATCACATTATTTCAATAACAATGGGCAAAATAAATTAGTATAAACCTAGTAGAGCCAGATCCAAAACACATTCTTAAAAGTCAAATTCTATCCTTACCTAACCTTATCTTAATGCTTATTTAAACTATTTCATTAATAAGAAATATGACCTTGGGCCTCTGACTGCATTGCTCCAAGCCAGGACGGGGCCTTCTGTCAGTCATTTTGACTAAGCAGCATAGTCTCACAGGAAAAGTTCAAGGGACAATTTCTGCCTCCAAGGAGGAAGAGAGGAATTCCCAGAATCCTCATGGGAAGGCCATGCCCCCAAGGAGGGATCATCAGGCTGTGACAGGGTAGATTCCACCCCTTCATTCTTTTATCAAATTGGCTTGTGTAAGTGCCCCATGCTCTGTCTCAGTGTCTCAGCGTTTTGGTTTCTGCTGCCTCTGCCACTTCAGACATGGATCTAGCATGTGCTCCACTGGTGGCTCCCCTTTCTTTGGAGTCCCAGGATTATTCTTGTTCCTCTTTCTGAAAGGACTCTTATACCCAGAGGAATGCCCAACTGGCCAGTCCCCTCCATTAGTGTTTCATATACTGTGTTTGCATGGCCCCGCATAATCACTTCATGGTAGTTATAAAGAAATAGATAGAAGAGCCATAGGTAGTTCATTTCATTTCCCCATGACATGATAAATATTTTCAGATCAATGTGTGTTCTGCCCTCCAGTCCAGGCAGGAAACAGAGTCCCTCAAAGCGTCACTGAGGGAAACTCAGGGAAGGGGCTGTTCGAGGAGGTATAGGCAGGATTTGGGCGGAGGGGAGAGGCTGGAGGACTTGGAAAGTGGTGGAGAGATAGAAGTTGTTCTGTCTCCAGAGTGTAAAACGGAAAACTCTTCCTGGGCCTTAGGGAGAGCTTGGAGCTCTCACAGTGAAACTGCACTGACCAGAGGAACCGTACGACTCCGAACTGCTAGAAATAGAAGGTACAAATCTCTCTCTCTCTCTCTCTCTCTCTCTCTCTCTCTCTCTCTCTCTCTCCTCCCCCGCCCTCCACCCTCACCCCCTTCCTATCTCCTACTCTGTCTTGCCTTTACACAGCCCAGGAAGAGACCAAAAGGAAGACCGCCTGATGAGGTTTTCTGAGTCACATTTAGCATCAGGAAGAACAGCCAAGCAGGCAGAGGCAGAGGATGGTCAGGTGTATAAGGGAGAAGCAGCGAAGAGAATAACTAGCTCAATGTGGAGAGTAATTCAACTCAGCTTTTAATATGATATAGCAATGCATTCTCCATGTATAATAGGAAATGCATGGGTCCTTGCCGACCCATGAGTGAAACCTAATGCGTAAATGTTTATAGTATTAGCTTCTCTGTTACCTTTGTCTTCTATTAAAAGTATTTCACTCAGTACCTATTTACTGAGCCCTTGCTTTGTACTAGGTCTTATCAAAGCTGGAGTTAAAGTGTAAGTGAGATAGACAAGGCCTCTCCTTTCCTTAAAAACAAACGAGCAAAAATAACCCCATCATTTAGGGTGATGGGGTAGAAAGTAATTCAGACGCTAACCCTAGATTAAGTGGCTAGTGAAAGGCTTTCGTAATAGGTGACTTTTAAGAGGAAAGCTGAGAAACCCTAAGAGCCAATATTGAGATCTGGGCAGAGAATAAAGAGTGAAGGCAAGGGACAAAGCTTGAAGGAATTACTGGAGCAGAGACAATCAGGAAAGCAGAGAGCAGGTATGGAGATTCTGTAAATTAGGTCTAGAAAAGGGGCAGGCAAGTCAAGTAGAGATGTGCTAGTGGGTGTGGGTTTTATTTTAAGTATGCTGGGAAGTCATTCAAGGGTTAAACCTAGTAAGATACCTGAGTTGGTTTACACTGGAAAATATCCCTTCGCACCTGTGTAGAGAATGGGTTGTGTGGCTAGCATAAGAGTGGGAACAGGCGACCAGTGCCGACACCCTTGACTGTTCCAGGTAGCCAGTCTCAGATACTTGCATTAGAGTATTTGTGATAGACGCAGAAAGAAGTAGCAGGATTCTGGACCTATTTGAAGAGTGATAATTACAGAGTTTGCTTCTGGGATGGATGTAAGGATGAGGAAGAAGAGCGAGCATAAGGCTGGTGACAACATTTTGGATCAAATGACTGGATGGATCAGGGAAGCCAATAGGAGGAACAACTCTGATGGAGGAGATAGGAGCCACCTTTGGGACTTGTTGAGTTTGAGATGCTTCTAAGTCATCCAAGAGCTATCAATGAAGTCATTGTTTATATGATCCTGAATGTTAGTGGAAAGGATAGTAACATTTACCTGTGAGGATTGTTGGGAAATTTAAACAACATACTACTGGTAAACGGCACATCGAAATAGGTGTCCCATAGTTTTGTTCCGTTCCCATTCTTATTGTTGGAAATACTCATGAACAATTTCTCTAGCCCCTGAACTAACCATGCAACGTTTATATCACATGTCTTAAGATACAAATTGTGGGGTTAAAGGGAAGAGGGAACCCCACAAAACATCACAGGTTCGGTAGGCACAATTGTACAGCGATAATAAGTAGAGATTATAGTAAAGTCATAGAGAGCATGAGAGTTAAAGGATGGAGTCAAGTAATGGAGTCAGACGCAATTCATGGTAGCATTGCTTACCTCAGGTCCACTTGATGGTCCTCATGGAGGGGGCTTAGTCGTCAGAGAAGAAGCCACTGCCTCGTCCTCCTTAGCCATCTTCTCCAGCCACCCTCGGCCAGCCACCCTCAGCCAGCCACCCTCTCGAGAACCAGGGAGCCTCATTATTTATTGCTAACCACGCATCATATCACTTTAGGGGGATCTGATTACAGAGTCATACATCACAGAAAGGGGCAATACAATTCATTCTAAAACAAGTTTGATCACTCTGGTGTCTCATACAATAAAACAGACAACTACTATTCTGGGAGGCATGCAAGTCCCCTGATAACGGACAATAACCTAAGTCACCGGGAGGGGTAGCAACATAGGCAATACAATCAATAGGAGGGGGATGACCTAGGGGTGTGCCCACATTTGTTGTGGGATAAACAGTGGTGTCTGCTTGATCTAGACAGCTGATAATGGCTACCTAACCTTGGTCATCCTTGGGCGAGTTTGACCTCTCTGGTATCTCCTACAAGTAAACAGACCACCACTATCCTTATCAGAAGGGAGTGGGTCTTATTTAGGGTGAGTCAGACTAATAGTCTAGCCACTATAGATGGCTGATGTTAAGGAGAATAACCTCTGACCTACTTTCACTGATAACCTATTGTACAGTCATTCTTAAGCAGCTAAGTCTGGTACATATTTTGGGGAGACAACTTAAGAGAAATCCTTCTGTTCCTCACAACAAATGCATGGGGAACGTTGCTCATGAAAGTGTCTCTCACCCTCCATGAATTACAAAGGGCTGTCATAGTAACAAAGCCACCTGGGTCTCTTTGATAAAGTGCTTAATCTTTTCCTTACATTTAGTCATGGCCTGAAGATGCACTTCAGGCGGTTGCCTCCCGCTTCTTAGAAGACATAGAAATGTCGGAGAAAACACGAGATGGCTGTATCGACATGTGTAAAAGCTTCCACACTTCCACTATAAACTTATCAAAAACCTTCTACATTGAACTTCAAAGATACAACTATGTGACTCCTACTTCTTATCTTGAATTAATCTCCACCTTCAAGCTGTTGCTAGAAAAGAAAAGAAGGTAAAAGTGACATTTTATAATTCTAAGTAAGCAGTGGTGGTTTTGACTTAGTGACTAAAATAAGCAAATAAATAACTATGACATAATAAGAGTTATTTTTCCCCTATAAATATACTGTGAGTTTTGTCACATTTTGAAATGGTTTAATCATAGGAAATGGTCTTACTCTTCTGGGTGTACTATATCACATTTGTGCGAAGAAGAAAGGTGTGCCCCTCAGCTAGTTTACACCCTCGGCAGATTGTGACAATGCTTTGGGGGGAGAAAGATGAGGTTTTCTACTTCTGTAAAAAGTTACATTCTCAGACACCTACAAGGGCAATTCTACCCTGCCCAATAGGGTCACCATGAATCCAAATGGACTCAATAACAGTGAGTTTGGTTTGGGGGCAAACACCTCTAGAAAAGTCATTTCCTTTGAATAGTCATCAGATAGCAGAGTAGCCTTCCTCTCTGGATACCAAACAGCTGGGAGCTCAAAGGTACATGGTCAGGGCACACAGCCAGTTTTACATCTCTAAAGGACGTCTGATATGAAGACATCAACATAAACAGTGGTAAACTTGCCAACTTTTAAAAAGTGTTTGCATGGCCGCTTTAATGTCCTTGAGGGTGGGTTTTAAATGCAAAACAACAAAAAGGTAAATACGAAAGTTTCTTTAGTTCTGGCAATGAATATTCAGTGCATATAATAATTAAAAGATTATTAACATTAAGCTGCAAGGTTGGAAGTTTAGAATATTTTAGTGATCATCTTTAAGGGCATCTTCATTAATGTTAATTAAATTAAAATTTGGCTAAACAATTTGTATATTATGTTTACAATTTCATAAATGTTTTTCTGGTGAGGTTTGAGTTAAAAGTTCAAACCTCTCTAGATACTTAAGTTATCAATCCGGCAAGTTGAACCTTAAAGTCGCTTATGTCTGATTATTTATTAACTTAGCAGAATTCTGACTTACTACACTAACCTCTTACTCAGTTGTACATTTTAAACTGAAATCTCAAAGCTGACCTATTAATCTAAAAGTAACAGTTTCAGGAAAAAATTAAAAGTAGATATTTAAAACACCAAATATCATAGATTCCCTAATACAAAAATATCAATCCGATTGAATTTTATTTTTGTTTACATTTTTAAGTTGTTCTCAGGTACTATGAAGTCAGTTCCAACACTTAGCGACCCTAAGGGGGAACAAAAGAAGGAGAAGACTGCATTTCTGTAGTTACTTCTAAATCTTTCTGTGGTTAACTCCTGTCTAGAGCATTTATTTTATTGTGGTAAAATATACATAACAACACTTTTGTCACTTTAACCATGTCCAAGTGCAAAGCCCATGGGCATTGACTGCATTCACCGGGTTGAGTAACCATCACTACCCTCCATTGCCAAAGGTTTTTTATCATATCAACGGAAGCACTGTGCCCCTGAAACACCAACGAACTCATTTCCTCCTGTTACCAGGCCCTGGTAACCATCATAAAGTCTTTTCTGTATGCATTTGCCTATTCTATGTGTTTCCTATAGGTGGGATCATAAAGGCATCTGTCCTCCAGGCCTGCTTTTTGTTTCACTCAGCATACTGTTCCAAATCCTTGCGTGGCATAGCATTTGTCAGGACTTCAATTTGTATGGTGGATGATGAGGAGCTCTGGTGGTTGCTGTTGCTAAGCACTTGGCTGCTAACCCAAAGGGTGGTGGTTCAAACCCCCCAGCCACTCTGTAGGAGAACGTGTGGCTGCCTGCTTCTCTCAAGATGACGCCCTTGGACACACTCTCAGGAAGTTCTACTCTGTCCTGTAGCGCTGCTCTGAGTCAGAATCAACTCAGCAATTGTTTTTTTTAAAAATAGACTACATTTTTATTTTTTATCTGTTGGTGGGCCCTTGTTTCCACATTTTGGCTATTGTGACCAGTGCTCCAATGAACATTGCAGTACACGTGCATTTTTGAATCTGTTTTCAAGGCTTTGGGAGTAGAGTTGCTGAGTCATAAGGAGCCCTGGTAGTATAGCGAGTAATGTGTTGGGCTGCTAACTGCAAGTTCAGCAGTTTGAAACCACCAGCTGTTCTATGGGAAAAAGATGAGGCTTTCTGCTCCCATAAAGATTTTGTTGTGAGTTGGAACTCAATGGCAGTGAGTTTGGTTTTTATGATATTTTCTTTTTAAATTTTTTATGTTTAACTTTTTGACAAACTGCCAAACTGTTTTCTATATTGGCTGTATCATTTTAGATTCTCACCAGCAATGTAGGAGGAGTGTTATCGTTTTTCTATACCCTTACAAATCCCTTTTTGCCCCTTGTATTACTAATAATTGGCATCCTGATGGGCATGGGATAATATCTCACTGTGGTTTTGATTTCCATTTCCTTAGTGACCAATGACTGACCATGCTTGTGTGCTTTTGACCAGTTATATATCTTGTTTGGATAATTTATTTGTTTATTAAAAATAGTTTTACTTGGATATAACTAACATCATATAATCCAATAGTTAAGTTATATTAAGAAGAGTTGTGAAATCATCACCACAATCAACTTTAGAACATGTTCTTCCTTCTTGGACCTAGTGCTATTAACTCTTCATTTCCCCCACCCTCTCGTTCCTGCACCCAGGTAATTATTAATCCAGTTCCTGTCCCCATAGTCACCCATCCTGAATTCCCTATACAGAAACAAAACAAAACAAAAATAACGCATATTTTAAAAGACAGAAAAATAGGAAAAAGGACCCAGCACCCATAACCAAATAAAACAGAGAAAACCTGCAATGGAAAAGAAGGCAGAAAATATTTTAAAACTGGAAGAAATTCAAAATGGGTTATATGACTAGATGTTACATTCCAGCCTAACTACTGTAAGGTAGTTGAGAGATGCCAGAAACCCAAATCAGTCAAATTAGAGCAAACAGGTTTTATTGGGGGGAAAAACCCAGCTTGGGCGAAGTCCCACCGTCCACAGGGCAGAGGGAGTCGCACTCCAGACTACAGGAGTGTTGTTTATATAGCCAGGGAACATGTGACTGGGCTGCCTTGAGTCCATATAAGGTAAAGTAGTCAGGGATTGGGAGATACAGGTATGTCCGGGTTTCTGGAATATAAGGTGTCTTCCTGGTTCCGGGGGTATTCATACCAGGTGCAGAGTGGCAGGCTGAGAACAAAGCGGGCACTGAGCCAAACGGGCCGTGAACAAAACAGGGCCGTGAGCAAAACGGGCCATGAGTGAAAGAAAGAAAAAAATCTTGCGAAGCTGCTTTACATAGTCAGCACTGGTCAGCTGTGTGTGTGTGTGTGTGTGTGTGTGTGTGTGTGTGTGTGTGTGTGTGATTCAAGGCCACGTGCTGCTAGTTGTTTCAGCCAGCTCTGGTCAGCTCCGCTCAGGTGGGGGAGATTCAAGGTCACTTGCTGCTAGAAGCCGGCCTGGAATTGATCCGGCCTGGAATTGATCCGGCCATACAACTACAGTTGCCAAAACCCACTTTACAATGCTCTGTGTCTGCTGTACAAAGCCTTTTCACTTTCCCAGACTGCGTCCAGAGGGGATTTGCTGGGGACTCAATCTACCTTGGGGTCCTACAAATGGATTTTGAGTTTCCACTATCATCGAAGTGTCCTCAAAACCTGATGTTTAGAATTGAAGCTCTAATACTTTTCCCTCCTCTGGGTTTGAATTTTGTTATTTACAATTCTTGGATCACACAGGCTAGTGTACTTCTTCCCTGTGGATTTAGTTGACTCCTCACTTAGATGACTGCTTATTTTGAGACAGACCTTTAAGACCCCCTGTTTCTGCTGGCCGGGCACCCCCTGCGGATTTCTTCACTGCGCTTGGTTACAGCAGCCACATCACCGCGTTTGGTTACAGCAGCCACCTCTCCAAGGACGACGAGGACCAAGAAGCATTTGCCCATTTTTAAACTGGGTTGTCTTTGTTGTTAATTTGTAAGAATCTTAGTGATCTTTATATTAAATCCTTGTCAAATATGTGATTATAAAATATTTTCTCCCATACTGTAGATTGCCTCCAGTTTCTTATTAAAGTCTTTTGATACACAAAAGATTTGATTTTAACCAAGTCCAATTTATCTACTTTTTTTCCCTTTTATTCTTTGTGCCATGGCTAAAAATATGTTGTGGGAAGATAGATTTTAAATTTTTACCTCTCTATTTTCCTCAAAGGGTTTTATGGGTTTAGTTCCTAAATTAAGTTACTGATTTATTTTTTACTTCATTTTCAGATGAGGTATGAGAGATAAGGGTCCACTTTTTTTTTTTTCAATCTGGAGAACCAGCTGCTTCACCACCAGTTATTGAAGAAACTATTAATACTCATTGAATGGACTTGGCTCTTTTGTTGAAAATCAATTAACCACAGATCTATGAGTTCATTATTGGAGCCTTTCAACTCTGTTCCATTCATTTAAATGCCTGTTTTTATACCAGTACCAGACATGTTTGATTACTGTAGCTTTATACTATACTTTGAGATGGAGAAGCATACCTCTTCCTATTCTGAAGTATTTTGAAATTTATTTTTCACAGTCACTAGGAAAGTTCTTGCTGTCGTTTGTTGGGTCAATTCCAACTCACGGTGGCCTGGCCGTTCCTTAGGCTGTCATCTTTACAGGAGCAGGTCACCAGGTTTTGTTTGTCATTTTCCCTCAATGTGAGTGGTGTGTTTCAGTCCAGTGGTTAAACAGTGAAGCATTTAACCATCACACCATTAGGATCCCTGACCAGCCTACTTTAGTCTAGTGACCATGATGGCACCACGATTAAAGTGGGAGCCTGCTAGCCAAAAGGTCAGGGGTTCAAATCCTCCAGTCACAATGAGGGAGGACGCTGTGACAGGGGCAGTTCTACTCTGTCAGAATTGATTTGATGACAGGGTTTGGATTTTATTTTATAAGGACTCTTGCAGCATACTCCCACGTGGTGCCAGAGTTTTCCTAGATGCCATGGTCCATGCCTATGGGTTTCAGCCGTACCATTGTTAATTTCTCCATCAGCTCTAGATGTATGAAACTCCCACCTAAGACTTATAAGTTGACTGGATTTTATTATTTTGGCTCTTCACATGATTGTCTTTCCAAGTATGTTATAGGATTTTTAATGCCATTTTGCATATATCAAAAGCACTTAGAGGTTCTGATTAAATTTTGAATGTCCCTTAGGACTTTGTTTGAGCCTACACCTACAAAGTTTAAGACCATCCAGACTGAAAGAAGAGTTATAAAAAGGAGACACAAATGTATAGGAAGACTAAAAGAGTAATGACTTTCTAGGCGTTTATTTGCTTTAAACTTGTCCTCTCGCTTTAATTTCACTTTCACCTCAATCTAGGGTTCCTAGCTTGTATTTAGTTACCTTTCCCTTAATAGCCAACACCTTTAAATATCTTTATTGACATGTAGTACAATAGCATAGCAGCAGACTATCAGACCACCTGCCTGGAAGTCAGTGCTTCTGCTCACCAAGTGCCCTACTAGGGTGATCCCCCACCCCTCATGCTGGCGGGCAGGAGGCCTTTCTTGGGCTTACTCCAGTTTGTGTCAGGGTTTTCCTGGAAATGAGCTCACACATATGCAACCCCCTCCGTCCACATCGCTGTCAGAGGTGGCTCACACCCAGGAGATTGAGCAGGTGGCATGCCGTCATGTCTAAGGTTGGTTCCTCCTGTAACAGCCCTTTCATTTCTCCTGGTTACCTTTTCCAGCTCAATCCAATCTATTACGCCATTGAAGATATTTAATAATCTTTCTGTTTTTATGACAGTTATCATATTGGTTCCATCTCTGCCTCCTGCTTTATGAGGGAGATTTCTAAAATGTGTCACCTTTTAATTTGAGCCATTATGGCATATCAAATATGAAAAATTTAAGGCCATTTATAAGTAAAATAATTATCCCTATTTACAAAATGTCATTATCTAGAGAACACATGACTTCAGATAAAATTTTTGAATTACATTCTAGTCATTTATTTTATACCTCCACATTAATAGTAATAAAGTGATGAGATTAATTACTTATCTAGTTTGCCATACTTCTCTTATGCAAAAAAAGAGGTTATTTCAAAATATTTCATATATTTTGAAATCTTTTTCCACTTCTCGTTTTTTTAGGCAATCAAATCTATTTAGTGTCTTTCTGAACTTTTGAAAGCATTCAAAATAATTTAATTAAACACAGAAGTCTATTGAAAAAATGTGATTATAAAGCCTTTCAAAGGAACAATATCCTTGGAATAAACTTCTCACATTGACTGATTTTAGAAGTACCTCACTCATTTTAATGCAAGAGGCCCTTGTCCTATACTAGTGTATTTATCTTTAGAATGTATACCATGTCACTAGATATTCCGGCTGGTTGCCGAAAATAGAAAAAGGGGATGAAGACATATTCATTACCCTTAACTTACATTGTCCTATGTTCTAAAGTTCAGAGTTTTGACAAATTGCCATTGGTGTGACATTGTTTTACAACACCCCATCATTTATGCCTTTAAAAGTTTGAAATAGTTCAAGAGTACTTAACTTCTAAATCCAATAGCAGTGGAAATTAATTGACAATAAAGTGACGATTAGACAAGTTTACTCATTTGTTTATTTTCTGTTTTCCATTGAGCTAGCAGCCCTTACCTTCCATGTCTTCTCAGCTATCTAGACAAGCTTAATACAACAAAACAGGAGGAGCCGATGTTAAGGGCTCAAGTAGAAGGCAAACGTTTTGAGAATTGATGATGGCAACAAATGTACAGATGTGCTTGACACAATGGATGTATGTATGGATTGTGATAAGAATTGTACGAGCCCCCAATAAAATGATTTAAAAAAACAAACAGATCCCTGTGCTACAAAATGTTGGCATACTAAGAAGACATGGCTTTTCCCCTTGAAGGTTGCAAATCTTACGCCTAATCTGGATTTGTCTGTTTGCTTTCAGTGAGGTAATGAAAATGAAGAAGAGATATGAAGTGGGTTTGGATAAACTGGACTCTGCTGCATCTCAAGTCGCCTCAATGCAGTCTGAACTGGAGGCGTTGCAACCTCAACTAAAAGTCGCCAGCAAAGAAGTGGATGAAATGATGATCATCATTGAGAGGGAGTCTGTCGAAGTGGCCAAAACGGAAAAGATAGTGAAAGCGGATGAAACAGTTGCCAATGAGCAAGCGATGGCCTCCAAAGCCATCAAAGATGAATGTGACGCTGACCTGGCCGGGGCCTTGCCAATCCTGGAGTCAGCCCTGTCTGCCCTGGACACTCTCACTGCACAGGTAAGGGCCCAGAACTATACTGGGTAGGAAACATGTCATCATAGTTAAGAAAATACTTAACAATTGTTTGCCACTTGACATTCGTTAGTACTTAGCATCTAGTTTGTCTCTCCAAATTAGTCTCCAAATGTAATGGTGCTGAAATGATTTTGAAATTAGCAACACAAACAACCTAACGAACTAAACACTGCCATCCAGTCAATGCTGATGCCCGGTCACCCAGATGGAGCAGAATAGAGCTTGCTCTTAGGGTTTCCCAGCCTGTAAATCTTCATGGGAGCAGAAAACCTCATCTTTCTCTTGCAGAGCTGCTGGTGGGTGGGTTTTAACTGCTAACCTTGTGATCCAATGTTTAATATACTGTGCAAGTAAGACCTTGATATTGGCAAAAGAACCCCCAAATTCATCTGAAAAAAGAAATGCATAAGCTTGAGAAGACAAGTTTGCAAAAAGAAGAAAGCAGCTAATTGTTTTGACCCATTGAAGAGAACAGTGTGCGTTGGTGAAATTTTGCTTCCTGCTCAGGGAAAAAGGCCACAGAACGTGTTGTGCTGTTAAACACAGCTTACAAGGACAGGGCTATGGGAAAAACTCAAGTGTACAAGTGGTTTTCTCATTTCTAAAAGGGTGAAATGTCGATTGATGACAAACCTTGTTCTGGATACCTGTCAACTTCCCAAATAGATGAAAATGTTGACAAAAATGTATGCGCTTGTGCTCAAAGACCGATGATGGACTATTGAAGAGATGGGGAAGTTTTCTGGACTATTTTGAAGTTTGGGGGATGAGAAGGGTCACTGAACAATGTGTGCCTTGGGTTCTGACTGACCAGGGAAAAGAGCTTCCATTGGAAATGTGCCATGCTTGGAAAGAACAGCTCTGAAGCGACCCAGACTTCTTTTTTTCCTCAAGGTTGTTACTGGTGACAAGACAGGGTGCAAACATCAAGCAAGCCAGTGGAAGACACCATCATCACCTTGCCCCCCCCACCCTGCCCCAAAAGCTCATCAAGTGAAATCAAAGATCAAGATGATGCTCATTTGATTTTTTGATGTGAGGGGGATCGTGCATTTCGAGTTCGTTCCACCAGGTCAGACTGTTAATCAAGCTTTCTATTTAGAGACTCTGGAAAGATTGGGTAACAGTGTGTAACAAAATCGACCTGATTTGTGGCAGATGGGAGACTGATTTTGTCACTATGGCAATGAACATGCTCACACAGTCATCTCAGTAAACCCGTTTTTGGCAAAAAACCAGCATGCCTTTCTTGCCCCACACACCTTACTCACCTGATCTCACTCTGTGTGACTTCTTTTTGTTTCCCCGAATGAAGAGGAACTTGAAAGGATTGAAATTTGATGACATAAAAAAGGTGAAGAAAAAAACACAAGGGAGGTGCTGTCAGCCATCCCAACAGATAAGTTTGAAAAATGTTTTCAAGAATGAAATCAAGAAAATGACAAATATGTTCAGTGTCGTGGAGGGTACTCTGAAGGTGATGACTGTTTTGTTAAAAAAAAAAAGGAAATACAGAGGTTTTGGGGAAAATGTACAGTTTTTTTGGGGGGTACCCCCTCATATGTACCTGGTACTACTATTCATCTCAGGGGTCTGTCTGTCTTTTAGATAAAACCTGAGCCATGGGGATGAGTTCTGTTCTTTGTAGTGGGTGGTGGGGTGGTGGGAGTGGGACAGGAAGTGTTGTTTGATTTTTATAATTTTATGTTTTGTCCATATTTTTCACCCACTCTATCCAGGCCTTCCTATTAGAGTGTGTTCGACAGTGGTAATGAGGGCCATCCGATTCTGGTCTCCTAAGGTTCATAGTCATTTGGATGAATTGTTTCCTTGCATTTTCTTTACTCTTCTTTATCATGTTTAAATACTTCTGTAATTGATACATGTCTCACAATGGAAATAACAGAGTACTGTCTATATATATTACTGTTTATATATTTTAGTAATGCATATCATAACATTTCTTACAATACATTTTTATAATATCATTACTTTAATATAATGTAGGATTAGAAATTAAGGTGTGAGGGGTGGACAAATTCAAGAGAAAAGTAGAAGTGGATTTTAAAACATAGAGTGAGAATCTTGCTTAAAAGTTTGGGTAGCAGGCATGCAACAGAACAACAAGGGGAGCAGAGCAAGGAAGTCCCGAGGGAGTACCACAAGTAGACTTTGGGGCCAGTGCATGGCACCCCATTAAACTCGACCAGAAAACACTCTGAAAGGTCAAAAAACAGACCTTGGACTATTTACAGGCTTTTCTTTCTTTTGTCATTGGTATCTTGTTGTTTTGTTTTCTTTTATTGCTTTGTTTTGCTCTCTTGTTTTTGTGCATATTGTTATCTCTGCAGGTTTATCTAGACAAGATAGGCTGGATAAACAATCTGGAGGGGAAAACAACAGGACTGACGGTTCCAGGGGGACATGGGAGACGTGGACATGGGGGAAAGGAAGTGGTGTTAAACCCAGGGACAAGGGAATACAAGCGATCCAAGATCGGTGGTGAGGAGGGTATAGGAGGCCTGGTAGGGTTTGATCAAGTGCAATGTAACCGAGAGGAATTACTGAAACCCAAATGAAGGCTGAGCATGACAGTGGGACAAGAGGAAAGTGAAAGGAAATAGAGGAAAGAGCTAGGAGGCAAAGGGCATTTATAGAGGTCTAAATACAGGCATGTACATATTTAAATATATATAAGATGATGGGGAAATAAATCTATGTGCATATATTTATAGATTTAGTATAAAAGTAGCAGATGGATATTGAGCCTCCACTTACTTACTCCCTCAATGCAAGAACACTTTGTTCTATTAAATTGGCATTCCATGATGCTCACCTTTCTGACACGATCACTGAAGACAAATGGGTGCATAAACAAATGTGGTGAAGAAAGCTGATGGTGCCCAGCTATCAAAAGATATAGCATCTGGGTTCTTAAAGGCTTGAAGATAAATAAGTGGCCATCTAGCTGAGGAGCAACAAAACCCACATGGAAGAAGAACACCAGCCTGTGTGATCACGAGGTGCTGAAGGGCTCAGAGATCAGACATCAAATAACAAAAAATCATATTATTGTGAATGAGGGGGAGTATGGAGTGGGGACCCAAAGTCTATCTGTAGGGTCTCGGGGAGGAGACTAACCAGTCAGAATGCAGTGTATCAATGATGAAACATACAACTTTCCTCTAGTTCTTTAAATGTTTCCTTCCCCACCTCCCTCCCCACTATCATAATCCCAATTCTACCTTACAAATCTGGCTAGACCAGAGGATGTACACTGGTACAGATAGGAACTGGAAACACAGGGAATCTAGGACAGATGAACCCTTCAGACCAATAATGAGAGTAGCGATACCAGGAGGGTAAGGGTAAAGTGGGGGAGAAAGAGGGAACCGATCACAATCATCTACATATAACCCCCCTCCCTGGGGGACAGACAACAGAAAAGTGGGTGAAGGCAGATGTCATAATAATTTATAAATTATCAAGGGTTCATGAGGGAGGGAGGGGAAAAATGAGGAGCTGATACCAAGGGCTGAAGAAGAAAGCAAATCTTTTGAGAATGATGGCAACAAATGTACAAATGTGCTTGACACAATGGGTGTGCATATGGATTGTGATAAGAGTTGTATGAGCCCCCAATAAAATTATTTTTTTTAAAGTTTGGGTGGCAGTAAAGGGGAAAATGTTACATCGCTTCCTCACATCATACTCCAAAATGGATTTCAGGCTGACTGAAAAATTAAATAACATTATTATAAAATTTCAGAAAATGTATGTCAAAATGTTTGAAATCTGAGAGTTGAAAATACTTTCTGTATGAGAGAAATTAGAAAGAGACTACTGTGCAGTTTAATTTTATACCCCTCTGTATTTTCCTAATAAATACTGATAAATAAATAAAGACTGATACATTTTAGTACATAATAATCTAAAAATTTTATTTGCCAGAAAGACCATGGACAAAATATAATTGATACACATCATAGACAAATGGATGATGTGTCTTCTATGTAAAGATCTCTTGCAAATCAATAATAAAAAAAGAAAAAATATAAAGAAAAAAGTGAAAATAGTAAATATAAGTGGACATTCTACCTCATCCATTTTTAAAGAAACACAAATTGAGGCAAAATTCTTTGACCTATAGAATGACTACCAGTGCTCTAAAGAGTCTAGTTAAAGGAGCACCTTTAATACTTTCTGGAGAACAGTTTGTCAAAAGGTGCCACAGTTTTGAAAAATAAGAAGTATAAGGTTTTTAATTCAACATTTCAGTTCTTATCATTATGATAAATATGGGGAAATTAGAATCATGGTACACAAATGTTTACTAGCATGGAAGGAGCTCTACTATCTAGTTTTTTGTTGTTGTTTTGTTTTCAAATCGTTTTATTAGGGCTCATTTGTACATCCATTGCCCTCATCATTCTCAAAACATTTTCTCTCCACTTAAACCCCCGGCATTAGGTCCTCATTTTTCTCCTCCCTCCCCAATCCCCCCTCCCTCATGTCATATCTTGCCCTGTCCGGCGTCTCCCTTCACCCACTTTTCGGTTGTCTGTCCCCCAGGGAGGAGGTCACATATAGTTCCTTGTAATGGGTTCCCTCTTTCCTACCCACTCTCCCTCTACCCTCCCTGTTTCGCCACTCACACCACTGGTCCTGTAGGGCTCATCTGCCCTGGATTCCCTGTATTTTCAGTTCCTATATGGTCTAGCCAGACTTGCAAGGTTGAATTCGAGTCATGGTAGTGGGAGCGAGGAGGAAACATTTAGGAACTAGAGGAAAGTTGTATTTTTCTTTTTTTTTTTAACATTTTATTAGGGGCTCATACAACTGTTATCCCAATCCATACACACATCAATTGTGTAAAGCGCATTTGTACATCGTTTCTCAAAACATTTTCTCTCCATTTAAACCCCCGACATTAGGTCCTCATTTTATTTTTCATTGTTGTTGCATCGCACCCTGACTGGCTCATCTCCTCCCCGAGACCCCTCTGCAAGGGGATCTCCAGTGGCCTACTAAGAGGCAGGAATAGTACATGTGTGTTTTGTGTAATGTGATTCCAATGCTTAAAATACAGCATATGATCTGGTTTGTGGCATATACACATAGAAAATAATTTAGATCATATAAATAAAAATTTTCTCAGCAGCTCTATACAGTCTATATGTACATTTCCCATGTGTCTTAATGTTTGTGTTGAGCATATATTTCATAATTTTTCATAAGCTAGCTAGCTCTATGTTGTGACATCCAAATATCCCTTTGATGTGTTATCCAATATGGGTAGCTTCCCTTTTTGGTTCTATGTTGTTAACTTTTCCTTTGGGAAATCTTTTCAATATTCTTTTGATACAATTCTACCATCATTTCTACACATGGATCGATCAATCTTCTGTATGCTAGGGTTTACTCTGACACTAGGAACCAACTACAATTAGCAGACATTTCGTTTTAAGTAATTAGTGTGTTGTTCTTTGAAGGATATCACCGTGGTGAAGTCCATGAAGAGTCCTCCTGCTGGCGTCAAGCTGGTGATGGAAGCTATCTGTATCTTGAAAGGCATCAAATCTGACAAAATCCCTGACCCATCAGGCTCTGGAAAAAAAATAGAAGATTTTTGGGGTCCAGCTAAGAGACTTCTGGGCGACATCAGATTTCTACAGTCACTTCATGAATATGACAAGGACAATATACCTGCCGCTTATATGAATATTATAAGAAAAAACTATATTCCAAATCCAGATTTTGTTCCAGAAAAGATTAGAAATGCTTCCACCGCGGCAGAAGGGCTGTGCAAATGGGTCATAGCAATGGATTCATATGATAAGTAAGTCTGATAAGCAGAAAACTAACTGGTATGCTGGTATGTTTCATTTCCTTATTTGGTCACTTAGGTATTTTGAACCTTACAAGCTATGTAGGTGAAAGGCTCCATAGAAAGTCATGTCTAATACCTGCTCTGTGTTTACATTTTTATTGGGGGCAAAATGACACCAATCAAAATACAGAGCACCGTAGATCTTAGACATCTGGGACTCGATGACCTTCTGTGGGTTTAAACATGATCGAGGACTCCAGTAAGCTTTCATTTATTTACCACCCTCAAAATAAACCTAACTGAAAGAAATCTTTTAGATCGTTTAAATTATTCATTGTTTTCCGAAAATAGCAAGGAAACCCTTAGAGGTTTACTTAAGGAACTTACGTGATGACCCTGGGAGAGCCAGGGCTCGCTGGGACTGCCTTGTGTTTGCAGCTGTCACGCGTTTTCTGCCTGTGCTGGGTGCAGCCTTACCACGCTTTTATTGCTCTGTGCTAGTAGAACTTATCGGAGTTTTCCTTCTCTCACAGTTTTTCACCTTACGCAGCCTTTGGGCTTTTAAAGATTTTTCTGCATTGAGAAATCTACATTAAAAAACAACAACAGAAAAGAGTGGCATTGGTTTATATTTTTTAATAAATCTCGTATAATACCTCATTTAATTAAAGACAATTGGACTAATTTTTTAAAAATTGGTCTGCTTTGATATCTTGTTTTGATGGAAGTAGATAAATAAAATTATGCCTCACACAGATATTTACGTAGACAAGGAAGGCCCTCATAGGCCACTTGAATAGAAAGGTACATTGAGGACTCACAAGGGTTCTTGGACTGAACTTTGACAGCAACTGGCATAATAGCCATTATTTATGTGACAGCCTTTGTTGATTATTGTATGAGGATATTGTATATCAAATCAGAGTAAAACATTATTTCTTCAAAAAACAGCCAGCATAAGATGTTTATATTCATTTTGTTATGATAAACACAAAGCCAATTTGAATCATTGTACATATACAGTGCATGTTTTTAAAATGTAGGGGCCATGCTAATATTTTGATGGTGAATTTTAATTTCATGTTTATTTCAAGTAAACATTATTGACTCGATTTGCAAGGTAAGTATTTGTTATATTACCAAGTAGCACTGACTTGGTCAAGATTCAGCAAACCGGTTAAAAAAGAATGACACTCGCCCGATCCCGGGCCAGCCTCGCAGTCATTGTGGGCGGTGCTTGAGTCCGTTGCTGGAACCACTGGGCGGGGCCATCTCCTTGAGGATCTTCCTCCTTTTCTAAGCCTCTAGCCAGTATAAGTGGAGCTCTCAGACCAACGTTTCAGCGAAGCTTCCAGGCTAAGAACAGACGGCAACGAGGGAATAAGCTGTCCACTTCAGAGAAATGAGTTGCTGAAAACATTATGGACAGCAACAAGCATTGTCAAATGTGGAAGGTCTAATAGTAAAGAATCGAAGCAGAACATTGGCAATAACAGTGCCAGGAGATGAGCCCCTCTGGTTAGAAGACACTCAAAATATGACCGAGGAAGAGCTAGCTGCCTCTTCAAAGCAGAGTCGACCATAATCACATGCATGGAGTAAAGTCTACGGAGCAAAGCCTTTGCGACCTCCATTTGCTGACGGTGCTCGATGCAAAATGAGAAGAAACGGCTGCAAACATCTACTAATCATTGGAACTTGAATCTAGGAAAATTAGAAGTCATCAGAAATGAAATAGAATGTACAAAAGTCAATCTCCTGGGCATTAGTGAGCTGAAATGGACTGGCATTGGCCATTTTTAATCAGAAAATCATTTGCTCACTATCTTCTAGGATTATTTGCTCAGCATGAAGTTTGAATGAGTATGGTGAAAGTATCCAACACTGGCAGACGGCATTTTATTCATGTATTAACACATCTCAATTGATAGTCTGTTGATTCCTGGAACCTTGTTTTCCTCCACCGTAGCTTGGAATTCTCTCATCAGTTCCATCTCGTCATGTTTATATGCTACCTCTGGTTATGTGCAGGAGTTCTGTTGTGGTAGTGGTTGTGTGTTGAGCTGCTTACTGCAAGATCAGCAGTTCAAAACCACCAACTGCTCCTCAGGAAAAAGACAAGGCTTTCTACTTCAACAAATAGTTATAGTTTCAGAAACCCACAGAGCTAAGTCTACCGTGTCCTACAGGATCACTAGAGTCATGATGAGTCAGAATTGACTTAGTGCAGGGGGTTTGGTTTGGTGTTTTGCCGTACTTGAACATCAGCCAGTTCTTTTTGGGACAGTACTGTGTATATTCCTTCTATCTTCTCTTGATGCTTCCTACATTGTTCAGTATTTTACCTGTAGACTCTTCAATTTCCAACTCAAGGCTTAGCTATTTCTTCACTTCTTTCAGCTTGAGAAATGCTGCGCATGTTCTTCTCTTTGGGGTTTCTATCTCGGTCTTTGCTCATTTCATTATAAGACTTGAATTTGACTTCTCAAGCTGCTTTTGAACTCTTCGGCTCTTTTACTTCATCATTTTTTCCATTCACTTTAGCTACTCTGTGATCAAGAGCAAGTTTCAGAGTCTCTCCTGATGTTCACTTTGGTCTTATTTTTTTCCTTTTTAATGTTTTTAATAACCTTTTGCTTTCCCTGTAGGCGATGTCGTTGATGTCATTCCACAACTCCTCTGGTCTCCAGTCACTAGCATTATATGTGTCAAATATGTACTTGAGATGGTCTCTGAATTCAGATAGGATACACTCAAGGTTGTACTTTGTCCTTCATGGACTATTTTTAATTTTCTTCAACATCAGCTTGAACTTATATGGGAACAGTTGAGAGTCTATTTCATAGTTGGCCCCTCTTCCTGTGCTGACTGATGAAACTGAGTTTCTCTATCGCCCCTTTGCACAGTTACAATCTATTTGGTTCCTGTGTATTTCATCTGGTGAGGTCTATATAGGTATTTATGTTATTTAAAAAAATAAAATTCTGTAATGTGATCTCTGGCATTCTTTCTATAACCAAAGCTATATTTTCCAACAGCTATTTTGTTTCCACCTTTTACATTCCAATGAAAAGTAATTATCAATGAATCTTTATTGCATGCTTGATCCATTTAAACTTCAGAACTTGGTAATAATCTTCCATTTCTCCATTTTTTGGCATTCGTGTTTGGTGCCAGCTTTTATAGCGATTGTGTCAAATGATCATATAGATTGAATACTATTCATATCACCTAGTCTCCTTCTAGGCATCTGACTGCTGTCTGACCACTGACTGACTTTGGGGGCGCAGCCCCTCCTCAGTTATATTTTGAGGGTCTTCCAACCCAAGGGGCTCATTTTCCAACATTCATCAGAAAATGTTCTCTTGTGATTCATAAGATCTTCACACACCAATTTTTTTCAGTATATAGCCCAGTCCTTCTTGCTAGTCCGAAAGCTCTGGTGAAAGCTGTCCAGCATGGCAATCCTGTTGGTATTTGAAGTATTAATGGCATGGCTTCCAGCATCATGACAATACAAGCCATCGAACAAACACACAGCATTGTTCTTCATAGTAGTAAGGGAATTCACCTCCATTCTCTTTTTGTAGATATCCCTATCTACTTATAAGCTAGCTGGTTTGGGATAGGGCTATATTTTGAAATTAAAGAAAAATGAAAATGATAAAATATTTCACATTCTGCTCCTCAGAATTATGCCATCACCAATTAGGTAAGTTCCTACTAACAGTATGATATTCTGTTTGAATATCCTATTCCTCTTTGTGGAAATTACTAAAATTAACATGCAACAATTATTTTATTTCAGTTGTAAAATATTTACTTGAAAACAATGTGTATTTGATATCTACTTGAATAGTCACTACTTCCATGTTGGCTTGGGTTAGAGCGTTCCTAAGGGGAAATATGGGATCAAGTCAATTTTACCTGAAGACATGCTTTAGGTGAGCAGGATGGATATTAGAAAAGTAAATTCAGTGGTAGGAACTGCAAGTAGAATGTTAAATGAATATTTACCAATTTTACTTTTTGTAGAGTGGCGAAAATAGTCGCTCCCAAGAAGATAAAACTGGCTGCAGCCGAAGGGGAGCTTAAGATTGCCATGGATGGTCTAAAGAAGAAGCAGGCGGTCCTTCATGAGGTGCAGGTCAAGCTGGCCAAGCTTCAGGACACACTGGAATTAAATAAGCAAAAGAAAGCTGACTTGGAAAACCAGGTATGTTACGATAACAGACCAAGATGAGTATGTTTTTCACTTGCTGCGAACAGGAATAATGCTTGTGCTAATGCATATGTAGTACCCAATCCTGCTTTCTCTCCTACATCAGTGTTTGGCAAGTAACAGTCTGCAGGTCAAACGTGATTTTGTTTGGTTCACCAGTTTAAAATGTTTGCTGGCTTCTTTTTGTTTGGTGTGCAAGTTAAGGATGTTTTGACATTTTTAAACATTTATATTTTAATTGGTTCCATACCAAACCCCAAACCATGAATCCATTGCTGTTGCACCCTTTCCCACTCAGGATGACCTGCCCTCAGGTGATACAGAGGAGAAATGCTCCAGAGGGTTTTCCCGGTTGTGATTGTAATAGAAACAAATCCCTTGACCTTTCAAGGTGATAAGAATTTACATACTATCCTGAATTGTTTCCTGTAAATCCAAAGCCTAACTCATCCCCTTTCTAATTCATTCTGTTTTTTAAGTCTCTGGCTTAGGTGACTAGGCTGCTGGGCTACATTACTTAACCGATTCTTCATCGTGTAAGTATGGCAATGGAGAAGCCAAGTCCTAAGTAGCCTGGATTGTGCACAAGTTTATGGCAGAGCTCGCTACCCAGAACCATAGCAAGACCACTGGGTTTTTTTAGATTTGAAACATTGCTCTAGCTAATATATTGTTGTCATCTGTAAAAAGATTAAGTGCTAATGCCTGACTATATTCCAGAAAAAGTGTGCAACCTAGAACAAGAGTCAACATTTACTGAGAGGCTGCTATGAGCAAGAAACTGTTATGAGAGCATTGTGTACGATCTCATCCTCACAACAACCCCTTCAGCTAAAACAGTTCATATAGCTTTACGTAGTACTGTCGGATGATGACCTTCTAGTAATCTATGGCCTGATTCGGTTCATTGTTGAAAGGAGAATGGGTGAAGAAGGACACTCAGAAGACAAAGATACTTCAAGACAGGACATTAAAAGAAAAAAAGTTTAAATTTAAGAAGCATCAAATATATAACCAGTTACATGCATATCTCCCTTTAAAATTTTTTCTTTAGGTAGACTGGTATACTTTTATATATCTTAGTATGACAGCACTTATTCTACACAAATATATAATTAAAGCCCAAATACCTATTTGCTATAGAATCAATTCTGACTCATAGCAACCCCACCAGAGAAAGTAGCACTGCCCTTTTGCATTTGCAAGGGTGTAACGCTTTGCAGGGGCAGAAAGCCTCACCTTTCTCCCACAGAGCTGCTGCGGGTTTGGACTGTGGGCCTGTCACTAGCCTCCCAGTGTATAATCCATTATGACACCAGGGCTCCTGAAGAAGTAGGAAGAACTGGAAAACGTGTGAGGTTCTTTCTCCAAAGTAATCTCGATAGTCAAGTTGTCTTTTCATGCCAATTATTTCCTGTTGAATCTCAAGATAGCCTTTACTTAAATTTATCTCCCTGCAGGAATAATTATACTATAAAACAGAGAAAGTCAATAAAAATAATAGAGGTGCTCTGCCAGAATATTGCCTTTGCATAGATTGAAATGGCTTTCCCCCCAAGTTTTCCAGCTCCATAATTATCCTTCTTTATCACATTGCTTAATTATACATGATAAAAGTTGATTGGCAATCTTGTGCACAAAGTGGGCTCTCAGCTACTGACTGATGCCCTCATTTAAGATTAATTGCAAGTGTCTAAATAGACTGACACAATTTAACAACTTGAAAATAGTGCTTTGTAAATGAACATAAATTATCAAAACTTTTAAGCATTAACCTTTAAAATAACTACTAAATCAAATGAGTCAAATGAGGAGGGAAATGTTTGTAAAAATGTTTACATAAAATTAATCTACACTCTATAAAATGGAGGGAAAGCACGTGTATTTGTAAATGCCCTTTATTGGTTAACTTTCAGTGTCCTGCTGTCAGGCTAGCCTGAAAATAGAGTTATGATTTGCATTCGATGGAAACCCATCATGAATTGTATAATTTGTTATCAGGTATATAACTTGTACAGGAAGAAACCAATATTTTTTCTAGCCTTTCTAGTACTTATAATGAAATATGTCACATTTCTTTTACACTTAAAGAAAAAGAAATATATCCAGACAGAAGTTTCCAATTAAAAAAAATTATCTCGGAGGCATATTCTTATTGATTTTTAAATTTTACTGTACTTTGTGGTGTTGGTGCGGTCTTAATTTTGATCTTTTAGGTTGACTTATGCAGCAAAAAACTAGACAGAGCTGAGCAGCTGATTGGGGGCCTTGGAGGTGAGAAAACCCGGTGGAGCCAAACAGCTCTGGAGCTGGGGGAGTTATACATCAACCTGACAGGTGATATCCTCATTTCCTCGGGAGTTGTGGCTTACCTGGGAGCCTTCACGTCCAACTATAGACAGGTAGGGAATGCTGTCTGTTCTCTAAGGTCTCTTCAGGAGCAGAAATCACTGCCAACATTTAATTTTGGGACTGCTCTTTTACTTTCTAAGCATAAGGGCCAATATATTTAAAATGATTTATATATGTATGTTTTCACTCTCTTATAAATCAACTATGTAGCCAAAAGATTCTATATGAACTCTTCCTTTAGAATATAATACATTTAGAAAATATAAATTATAATATGAAATGATAGACCCTGGTGATAAAATTACAAAGGGCAACTTCAAAAGACAGCATAAAATCCTATCACGAGATGTGCAAAGACCTGGATTTAGAAAGCCAAAAAGAAGGAAGTGCTTGGTTCTCAAGCCTAAAGAACTAAAGAGAAAATTCAAGCCTCAAGTTACAATTTTGAAGGATTCTGTAGGCAAAATATTGAACCATACAGGAAGCATAAAACTGATGATATGAATATAGAATCATTGTACCAAATAGAACTGGTTGACATTCAAACATTTCAAGAGGTAGCAAATGATCAAGAACTGATGGTGCTGAAAGACTGAGGCCAAGCTGCACTGAATGCTTTAGCAAAAACATGGCTCCAGGAATTGACAGATTACCAATGGAAGTGTTTCAACACACTGATAAATCATCAGAAGCACTCCCTGTTTATGTTAAAAAAAAAAAAAAAAAAGGAAGACAGCTCTCTGGCCAGTTGACTAGAAGAGATTTTTTGTGCCCATTGCAAAGTAAGATGACCCAATAGAATGTGGCAATTATTGAACAATGTCCTTAAATATCACACGCCAGTAAAGTTTTGCTGAGGATCACTGTGTTAGTCCAGGTGGACTAGAGAAACAAATTCAGAGACCTTCATTAGTGTAAGAGAGAGGTTTATATCAAAGAACAATTGTATATTGAGAAAACATCCCATCCCAGTCCAGATCAAGTCCATAAGTCCAATATTAGGCATATGTCCGATACTGGTCCATAACTTCCTGTTACGCAGCACATACAATGATGCTGAGTGCAGGAAGATCACAGGCCGGTGGGGGGAAAGTCTTGTGGATCCAATGGCAGTGGAAGCATCACAGGGCTGTGTCCCCAGGTCTCTGCCACATGGCTTGTCAACAGGAAGGTGAAGCAGAGAAAGTGTGTGGCCCTTGTCCAGGGAGAAAACAGAAGTAGTTCCCAGAATCCTCATGAGAAGGTCATGCCCACTAGATGGCATTATCAGACTGTGACCTGATTGACAGGTTAAACTCCACCCCTTCACTATATTTATCAAGTTGGCATGAAATTATGTAACTATCACTATCATTTAAAAATGCAGTACTCCGACTGAGAGCTGCCAGAAAATCCTGCCGGATTAAGAATAGGATTTAGCATGAAATTCACAGTTCAAATCTCCAGCCAACCTGAGGGAGAAAGATGTGGCAACCTGCTTCCACAAGGATTTAAATAAAAAAATCAGCCGCCAGGGAGTCAGGTCCTCCTCATAGCCACCCTGTAGGGTAGAGCCGAACTAACTGCTCCACAGGGTTTCTGAGACTAAATGTTCAAGGGAGCCAACAATCTCACAGTTCTCCCACAGAGCGGCTGGTAGGTTTGAACAGCCAAACTTGCAGTTAGCAGCCCTATAATTAAGCCATTGTTTTACCATTGCTCCTCTGTAAAGATTTACAGCCCCGGGAATACTATGAGGCAGGCTTACTGTGTCCTGTCAGACTGTACCACGTTGGAATCCATTTGAGGCAAGTGGTGACATGATACTGACTGGTAACGAGGAAGGGAGTGGCTGCGGCCACCTTGTCCCTTGTTCAGTGTCTCAACCAGGTCCCTGCTCTGCCTCCTGTTCAAGGTGAAATCCTTCCCAGCTTACTTAGAGCCGTCCCTCGGCACCCTAACCTTCCTGACAGACTCTGTTCCGAAGGACTGCATCCCCTGGACCCTTTGAGCACCCTGCTGCTACACACTGCTGCATCTTTCTCCCTCAGAGCAGCCACTGTGCTCGAACCACTGGCCTGTAGCTAGCAGTCAAACACCTAACCAATGGGCCACCAGGGCTTCTCCAAACCAGTGGAGAATGGAAAGAGCATTAACTTAGGATTCAATTGGAGAGAGGTCTCATTCCTGTCCTGTCATTTCATCTCCCAACTGTGCAGCATGTGTGTGTGTGTATATATATATATATAAAACAAATCAAAAGAGTGACCAAATTCGTTTTGGAGAAAGTCTCAAATTTAAGCAAGACACGGTTTAGGCATGTGCAACCAAATGTTTTGTAAAGCTAAAAAGCCTCGCTTAAAGGGAGCTACTGTTATTCTCTACTTGCTCAGCACTAGACACTATTCTGAAGGTCGCACTTCTCTTTATTCTCGTTATTCTGTTAATTTTATGAAACCTCTCCTCCTGTGAACTCACTGTCCTCAGCCAGATTCAAACAACCTCTCCGTCCTAGCCCATCTGTCAAGGCAGTGCCCCCCTTTCCTTACCTCCCCCCATCAGCCGGCGCGTCTTTATTCTCCCTAAAGAGTCTCTGCAGGCCCTGTTACTTCCCATTTCACTATTAAGTGTCCTAGACTCCTTCTTAACGTTCAATAGAATTCATTGGAAATCGAGTTCATTGTCTCACCTTCTAAATTATAGTTTTATTTGAGGAGAATGTGGTAAACAGAAGGCATTTTGAAGGTAGAGTTTTAACAATGGGTTGTTGACTACAGAAACAACATGTAATCAAGGGGTATACAAAATGTTTGTTTGATAACCTCCACCCTCCTTTCTATATTGTGTGTGTGTGTGTGTGTGTGTGTGTGTGTGTGTGTGTGTGTGTGTGTCTTAAGCACCAAACCAAGGAATGGACAAGTCTGTGCAAAGGAGGAGACATACCCTGCTCAGATGACTACTCACTGATGAGCACCCTCGGCGAGGCGGTGACTATTCGGACCTGGAACATTGCTGGGTTACCTTCTGACTCCTTTTCCATTGATAATGGGATCATCATCATGTAAGGAAACTATAGTTCTGACGAATGATCTTTAGGAACTAATCACTAACCTTGTTTTCCTCTGCAACTTTTAACAATTTTCCTAGCACCATTTTACAGTACTTAAAACACTTGACTTCCTTTTCATGTTAAAATTGGAGCTGCATGGCCTTGCAGATGATCATAAACAAACACAAAAAGAACTCGCCTTCGAATACATTGTAATTCATTGTCAGCAAATAGTGTGAAATCCTGCCATGGGGAAGTGATGTTCAAATGTCCATTCCCATCCAACGCATGGTTGATTGTTTCCAGTCTCAGCTTACTGCAAGGGGCGGCAGAGGGCAATTATTGGCAATTGAGAGGTTGTTCCACATTCCATCATATTTCCTGGTATACAACCAGCGTAAAATACATGGATATATTTTGGGGTCCTCCGCTGACTGGAGTTCCTGGAATCTCGTGGTGAGTAGCCAAATCCTTGAGACTGGGTTGAGAGAATTATGGAGACTTCGTGCAGCCTCCCCTCTTCTCCGTGGCTCTCAGTATGAAGACAATCACCGAGTGTGTTCCTACCACGTTCACATGATCGTGCACCTTTCATCGCCGGCCCCCGCCTGCTGGGGGCTTTGTATGTTAGAAATAGCCTGGGTGGTCCATCCAGTAGGAAGCATTTAGCTTTATGCTGCATGAAGTAATTTGACTAGTTTCTAGACAATTTCCTACTAAGAAAGCAATTGGTAGTTAATAATGAAACCACAAGGGATGAGACGTAAAGTAAAATGTCTTTGAAGAAGTACGGTCAGAGTACTCTTAGGAGCAACGATCTCCACACTAACTCTCATGCGCTTTAGACAGGTTTTCAGTGGGGACCTGTCCCTGGGGAAGAACGCCATCCCTGGGGAAGGAGATGGATTGCCAGAAAAATAGAGGCGGGCCCTCCATGGACTGAATTGTCATGTGGCGCTCTCACGGGCTCAAACGTAGCAAGGGTTCTTAGGAGGGGGCCGGACGGGGCGGTGTTTTGTTTCTCCACTAAGATGTGCTGAGTCGAAGCTAATGGCACTGTAAACCAGGTAAAAGTGGTTAAGATGTGAACATTTAAAATAGAGTTGACCAGGACGTGTGAAGCTAGTTATTCTTTAAAGTTTGTTTTGTAATGAGTCTCCCTGAAAATTATCCTATCCAGTAAAACACCAATTCACGCATGTCCTTATGGTTCAATAAGTCATCTTGTCACATGGATTTCTTTAGCTTTTATTTGCTGCATTTTTCCTACAAAAATTTGAGGCATGCGCAATTTGAATATAATATAAAAATGGGATAAAATCTGGAGACACCACTTATAGGAAGGAGGAAAAGCCCCTACTAGAAACCTGGGATGACTATCTTTCCATTAGTCATGCTTTCTGGTAACTACCAGGAGCTCTGGTGGTGTAGTGGGTTAAGAGTTGGGCTGTGATCTTTAAGGTCAGCAGTTCGAAACCACCCGATGCTCCAAGGGAGAAAAACCAGGCTTTCTACTCCAGTAAAGAGTTGCTGTCTCAAGACACTCACAAGGGCAGTTCTACCCTGTCCCGAATCAGCTGGAATTGATTTGATGGGAGTGAGTGAGTCTGATAACTAAGGCAAAGAAAGATAGATTGTGTGACATAGCATCATTGTCACCCAAGTAAAATGGACTGAGGAAGGCAAACTTTTTCAGGAACTATATTTAAATATAAATATTAGTTTGAAGAAAAGTCTAAAAAGCTGGACTGTCTTTGCTTTGTGCTGCCGTATGGTGCAACGTCTCGGGTGAGTCATTCTAAATAATAGACATTCATTTTCTCCCAGTTCTGGAGGCTAAAAGCCAAATCCGGGACTTGGTTGTGTCCATTCCTTCTGTGAACCTCTGTCGTCATTTCCGGTGACCACTGGCAATTCTTGGAGTCCCTCTGCTGCTGCCAGTGCGTCCTGGGGTCTTCTCCTCTGAGCAGCCTCTCTGTGCTTAATCTGCTCTTTTCAGAGGATACCTCTCAGAAGCGATCAGGTTAAGCACCCACCCTACTTTGGTAGGACCATGTTAACACAACAAAAGAAAGTCCCTGTTTCCAAACAAAGTCACATTTACAGGTAAAAAGAGAAGTAAAAAGACGTCAGCATGACTTTTGGTGCTGGAGGTGGGGTGGGGGATATTGTTCATAAAAAACAAACAACCCTCTACCATTGAGTGAACTCTGACTCCTAGCGACCCTGCCTAGGGTCTCTGATGCTGCAGATCTTTATGGAATCAGACAGCCTCATCTTTCTCCTGAGGAGCAGCTAGTGGGTTTGAATTGCCAACCTTGCAGTTAGCAACTCAATGCTTATACTCAAAACCCCAAACTGCTGATTCCTCCCCAGAGCAACCTTATAGGGAAGAGTAAAACTGCCCCTTTGGGTTTGAACTGCTGACCTGGAGGCCAGGCTGTGTCTTTTATTCATATATATATATATATTTATATTTATATATTTTATTCATATATAATAAATATATCTATATTTCTTTTGGATTCAGTTATATTTCAATGGCAATAAAGGTCATATATATATGTTCCTTTCTTTTGGATTCAGTTATATTTCAATGGCAATAAAGCCATTGATGTAATATTTCTGATATTAAGACTCCAAATACGTCAACGATTATTATTCAGGACAGCACACTTTTTGGGGGAGCAGGAGTAGAGATTGGTGTTAAGGAGCCATTCACTGTACATTTTTGCTATTGATGAGTTAAAATGTTGAAATATTAGCAGAAAGTTATGTCAGAGACTTGACTAAGACAGGAATATCATTTTTTCTTTCCTTCCTGGCTTATTTGCTGTGCAATCTTACCACGATCGGTCAATAAATAGGCTCAAGATGATCATTTTTAAGGGTCAGATAAGTACATACCTTACTATCTTACTGAAGTAGTGCCTTCTCCCATTCACCCAATATTTGCTTGATGATATCTGGCTGGTATTGAGCACTTATTAAGGAATTGTCGCTGTGCTGACTGCTTTGTGCCTTTTATCTCAGCTGAATGAGGAGTCAATAATTTAGGGAAACTTAAGAATCTCTAAAATCTGGCAAGTTGGAATATAATTAACTTGAAAACCTTATAGACCCAAAGTCTCTTGGCTAATCAGAGTTCCAAAGGCTAGTGATAACACTAAATGCAATTGGATTGATTGTTTAACCACTTGGCAAGTAGATCAGACATATATGTACTCTTAACTCTGCTTTTTAAAAGTGTATTTACATTTTCATTTCTGTAATAGATAAATTGAGCTTATTTTAGTAGCAATAAAATGGAGAGGACCACCTATCTTTCCTCAGTTTTTATGTATTTTTCAGAGTAAAGTGGAGAATAACAATATACATTAGAATGCACCACAGCTCTATATTCAAATACTGTGTTCTTCCTGGCAGACGGATGTGAATTTGTATTGTCACCGCTAGAAGTCTTTTTCAAAACCCCCAAAGAACAACAAACAATAGTATTCTCTAGACAGTAATAAAAGAGCAAATACCGTCAAAACTTAGAACACTGTGTACTATAAAAACTGTCTCCATTGGGAACCACAGGTCTTAAAGTATTTGGGAATTCACAAATGTTTGATGGAGGCAGCAAGCAAGAAAGAATTGTGTGGAGAGAATATTTTCTTGTCAAAAGCAAAATAATGAAAACAGTGGTTAGAAGGAAGTAAGCAAGTCAACACAGTATTTGTTCATTTTGAATTCACTCAGCCTTTCATGGTCATTAGACGCAGCATTTTGGTAAATCTCTTACGTCAGGTAAAGAAGTCCTTCCTATTCCCACTATGCTGAGAGTTTGTCAAATGCTTCTCTGCATCTATTGCTATTATCAGAGGGTGTCGTTTGTTGTTGTTTTAAGCCTATTAATATAGTGAATTAAGCTGATTAATGTTCAAATGTTAAAGTCATTCTAGGATAAAATCCACTTTGCCTTGATCTAGTATTCTATTTAAACATTTCTGGATTAAATTTTTGAGGACTTTTTGTGTGTGTTTATGCTCATAAGGGGCATTAGTCTGAGCTTTCTTGCACGTTCTGTGTGATTTGACTATCACCTTGATGGCGCCCTCAGTATGAATTGGAAAGCGTTTTCCTTTGTTCTGGTCTTTGAAAGAGATTATGTAATTAAAATTACTTCTTCCTGAAATGTTTGCTAGGGATGCCGAAAGAAATTCTCTGTGCCTAGAGTTTTTAATAGTGGTAGATTGTATGTCTAAGAGAGTTATAGGATGCTTCCCGGGAGCCTCGAAGCTCCTTGAAGAGTCCTACAATGGCTTACCTTGAAGAGCTTTCTAATTTCTAATTCCCAGTGGCTTCTTCAAGGAGCCCTGATGGCGTAGTGGGTTATCCATTGAGCTGCTAACTCCAAGCTCAGCAGTTTGAACCAGCAGCTCCAAGGGAGAATGATGATATATATATATATGTGTGTGTGTGTGTGTATATATATATATATATATAGCTTTTGTAGGGAATTATGTGTATATATATATATATATATATATAGCTTTTGTACTGAATTATGTATATATATACAAATTGTGTATATATATACACACACACACAAATATATATGTATATATATACATACATATATACATACATACATACATACACACACACACACACATATATATATTGCTTTTGTAGTGAACTATAGCCTTAGAAACCCACAGGGGCCGTCCTACCTTGTGCTATAGTGTCACTGTGAGTTGGAATGGTCTTGGTGGCACCGAGTTTAGAGTTGGAATGGCTCCTTGATGGCTTGATAATAAAGCATTCACTGCTAACTGGAACGTTGGTTGGTTGGTTGAGCCTCGCCTGTGGCTCCTTGGGAGAAGTTTCTGGCCGTCTCTTTCCGTAAAGACAACAACCTAGAAGAGCCCATGAAGCAGTTCTACTCTGTGACACGGAGCCGCTGCAAGTTGACAATCAACTCCACAGCTGTAACAACATCACAGAATGGCTTTTAGTTTCATTGA